CTTGGCAGACTGATGCTTTTGTCAAATACAGTAAGAAGGGGTTACTGGAAAAATAAAATGAAGATAAATCATCAACTGGTCACATCTTAAATGTTGGGACAACGCTATAAACATTTCAAAGCATCTCCCCGTTCCTGTCCTTAGCTCATTGCAGACTAGCTGTAAGCAGTGTCTGCCTGGCAGTGGTCCACAGAGCACACTGAGTGGCCCTGCTTCGGGGCCCCGCAGAACTGTGTTTTGGTACACTCTTTGTAATAATAACACCAGCCTCTGGTAATATGCATGGGAGGTGTATTATTGTGGGCTCCTCAGAGAATCATAACCAATAAGATGGATGTTAACATAGAAGGATTTATTATAAAGAATTAGCTCCCATGGTTATGGAGGCTGAGAAGCCCACAGTCTGCAGTTGGCAAGCTGGAGGCCCAGGAGAGATGATGGTGTGAGCTCCAGTCCAGGCAGAAGACCAGTGTCCCAGCTTCACCGTCAGGCCCAGAGAATGGATTTTCCCTCCTCTGCCTCCATCGGTGGGCTGAGGCTCAGCCACGTCAGGGAGGGCGACCTGCTGTACTCAGTCTGTGACTCAGACGTTCCTCTCATCCAGAAACAACCTCACGGACAGCCCAGAATAACGTTTAACCAAATATCTGGGCACCCCGGGGCCCAGTCACATTGACACAGAAAATTAACCTTCACTGAAGGGCACCATCTCATGTCAACGTGAATGGGGCTTTTTGGTTGGTTACTCCACCAAGAAATGTACCCGTTCCTTGACCCTTAAAGCAGGAACCACCCCTCTGATTTTTAACCCCCGGACACCTCGTCCATTATGTAACCAGATAATCCCTTGGTGCCCAGGAGATTGACTCTTCTTCAGCTCCTGTGCTTCCCATTTAATAGCCCTCCTGTAGATGTAGCCAGCTGCTTGCCAACACCACTCTCCACTCACCAGGGTCGCTGGTGCTGTGAGCCCCTTGCCCACCTGGTCTCTCAGAGCCAGCCAGCTTCCCTCTGAGCCCACCCTCTGCCACATACTCCCTGACCCTCCTTCCTAACCCAGGATGTTTGATCTTCAATCCCATATCTGTGACCTCCTCTTTTCCCTGTATCCTGCTTCATATACCCTTAGCAAATAATTACTGATATTTATTGATAGTGTTTCTGGTACTAAGTACAGCACTTTCCATATCTTATTTTATATTTATAAAAATACTATTCAGTATGTATCAAAACCCTCTTTTACAGAGGAGGAAACTGAGGCTTACAGAAAATAAGTAATTTGCTGATATGGTTATTGAAGGCAGAGGTAGGATTTAAATCTAATACTATTTTTGCTTCCAAAGTCCTGAATTAAAAAAAAAAATAAAAAAAAAATATATATATATATTATTTCAGAGAGGAAGAAAGAGATAGAAACATCAGTGATGAGAGAGAATCATTGATTGGCTGCTTCCTGCATGCCCCCGATTGAGCTCACAGTCCGGGCATGTGCTTGCAAACTGTGACCTCCTGTATCATAGGTAGAGGCTCAACCGCTGAGCCACACCGGTCCAGCAAGTCCTGATTTTTTTTTTTTTTTGTTAAATGTATTTTATTGATTTTTTGATTTTTTTACAGAGAGGAAGAGAGAGGGACAGATAGTTAGAAACATCGATCAGTTGCCTCCTGCACCCCCACCCCCCCCCCCCCCCCCCCCCCCAGTAGGGACGTGACGTGCCTGCAACCAAGGTACATCCCCTGACCGGAATTGAACCTGGGACCCCTCAGTCCGCAGGTCAACGCCCTATCCACTGAACCAAACCGGTTTCGGCAAGTCCTGATTCTTAAACATGAAATCATACTGCCTTACAGAAGTTACAGAGAAAGTGTTCACATGACCAAGTCAGTTAAATAATATTTCTTAATGAGTAAAGTTGTGGTGAAAATATTAATATTTGCATATATTTTGAGTTCATTGTCTCCCTTCTCTCCCCCATAAGCATCCATCTTCAAGTTTTAGTCCAGGACCATGTTTGTCTTTGTTGATGAACTTGTGTGTTTTTCTTCCTTCGCCAAAGAGAAAAATCTTGGTTGGGTTTCCCCAGGTGGCTTGGAGTGAAATTTAGTCTTTAATTGCAGCAGCTGTTTTTAGCTTATTTTAAATAATGTTCTTCCCTTTTTTGAACATGACTTTATCTCTATACATGGTTCAATTCCACATTTTCTTTCCTGCTAGACATTGAACATTTTGGGTGCAGAGACCGAAGGAAATGGATATGTACCTAATTTTGTAAGCTGCTTTTTCCAGAAGCAAATTATGTTGGCATATCAAATGGGATTCAGTTATGACCAGTTTTTTTGTTTTTTTCTTTCTGCCAAGTACTCACTGTTTATTATGTGCTGTACTGGGACATGGCTTGGGAATGTTCGTTTGCGTATAACTGTTATTCGGCTGCAGAAATGTGTGTGGCAGATGCAAAGCTTCAGACGTCCAGGTAAAAGGTGACAAAGGGAAGATATTTACAAAATGCTTGGAAGCTGGAGTGATGAGTGATGAAATGGGGAGGAATAATTCCAGTGCTGGTACTGATCAGAGTGGGGCTCCTCCAGGTAGGGAAATTCGCTAAGATCAGTGTTATCGTCCCATGTTCACGTAGAACTGAAATGACAGAAAAGCAGCCGGAGAGGCAGCTGGGATCCTGGGCCAGAGCTGAGAGGGAGCTGAAGGCACCCGGGAAGTGTTAGCCGGTGTTGACGTCTCTCTCCCTGGGCCACGGGGATCCAGTCCTTTGCCAGACAGTCACGGCTCCCGGTCCCCCAAATCCGGATTGGCTTTAGGAAAAGGGAGAGTGGCCTTAACGTACACGTCTGATACTCGCTTTTAAACCTGTTCTTTCTGAAATTAAACTTGGAGGAAAGAGGAGATGCAATTGAATTGTTCTTCCAGAAAAAGATGATTGTTTTCTATTTATGTGAAAGGACAATTTGGCTTTGGGAGGGGGAAGTCTGGCTTGTAACTAGAGGAAGGTATACATTGTATACTTGGCAAATGTGTGTGTGCTTTGTGGCCAGCGTCCTGCCGTTGACGATCGGCCTGTGGATGTGTGTTTTGTGAGCGGTAGAGAGTTCATGTGGTTTGGAGGCTGGCGGCCGGCTCGGGCCTCAGCCCTGTGTCTGTCTTACCGTTCGGGGCCCAGAGCATTTGTGAGAGCTGTCCCAGTTGTTATGATGAGTGAAAAGTACCTTTGATAGAAATAGAGAAATCAGGAAGTGTGGCCTATATTTTAGGAAGATAGTTAATTTGTTTTTAGACATCTTGAGCTTGAAATGAGAGTTTGACATCCGGATGGAAATGTCTTGGCTCAGCTGTGGCTGCTTCGTCAAAACAGCGCTTAGGAGGCTTGCGTTCTGGAAAGGATTCTCTTTCACTCATGGGTTTTGTGCTCTTGGGCAAGCCCTGTAACTCTGAGGAGTCTCCTGGGCTGATCCCGAAGTCAGCAGTGCTCAGCCCCAACAAGGACCCGCTGCTGTGGTGGGGACAGTAGGGGCGTGTCCAGCTGTGCCTGTCACAGTGGTGTCCCAGGGAGAAGAAGACAGGAGCCCCACCCCTGGTGTGTGCTGGCTCCACATCCCATGAGCAGGGACGATTGCCGAGTGTGGGTTCTCTCTGAGTGGGGTTTGAGGCTCAGTGAGGTTTGGCTGTCCTGAGCTATTGTTCTCAGAGACTGGCCCATTGGCTGTCTTCCTGCAATTTATACCTCGTTGCTCAGCAGTGGCCACCGGGGCTGCTCCAGCCACTCCGGCTTATCCTATAGACACAAACGTTAGTGCCGGACAGGTCTCTACAAGTGACTTACATGCGGACTGATAGCTGAGTGGGGGAGAGCAAGGGGCCATTCCTCTCCCTCTGAGCCCTGGCAGGGAGGCCCTCATCCTTGCTTGGTGCTCCCAGGACGGAGAGATGACTCCTTCCAACCTGTCCAGTCCTCCTTCTGGAGCCCTGCTAAGGTGTTCTTTACCCACACTCTGTATTGGCTCCCTGTACTCCCTCCCTGTTCCCTACTTCCACTCACTGGCGTATTAGTCCTCTTAGTCCTTTCTATAGATGGGGAAGCAGAACCTGACATGCTCAGTGGCTCCCTCCCTGTAACAGCACCAGGCAGGCCCTTTCTGCCCGGGAGGGCCCATCTTTCTAAGTGCCTTTCCTCTTTATCCTTTGTCCCCGCCCTTTCATTCTTCTCACCACACCCCTTCCCCTTAGCCTGAAGCCTCTGGCCTGCCTTGCCCTGTGGGGACCGCTGAGGCCCAGTGGTGGCCATCTGGGCAGAGCAGCTGGTGGGTTTGTTAGTTGGGGGTAGAGGGATGCGTGAGTTAATTTCCCAAAGAGGGCTGGAAGCTGCTCAGTCCTGGGACACTTTGAGATGTCACTCACCTTTATAGTAGGGTGGGTTTGAGTCGGGCTTGGGGGCGCTCCTCAGGGGCACAGATTGGTTTGCATATTCACGTGGAACCGTGTGTGCCCCCCCTGCTCGGAGTGCTGTGTGAGCGGAATGCCTGCTTTGCCTGGGGAAAGTGAAACACGTGGGCCTCTGCAAGGTCACAGCCAAGACATCCGGTACCTGGGCAGCCCGACATTTCTGGGGTGCACTGTCCTTTCTTGTGAGAACCGAGAACGAGGCTGCCAGGCGAGGGAGAGGAGCAGAGGGCGTTCCTGTTTGCACGGAGACAGCTTGGCGATGACATGGTGTCCCACAGTCTGCAGGGACAGCACGCCTCAAATTCATTATTCCGTGGGAACAACGATGCAAGACAGACATACAGTGGAGGAAGGGCTAGAACTTGAGGCCCCGTGTGGATTGTTCAGCCATGGGCACCCCAAAGTTTTCTGACTTCCCCTCTAGATACGTTATTCATGAAAAGATAACACCAGCCAGGGGAACCCCCGGGTGGTCCTTTGAGGCCGGGCAGGAGGAGTGGCTGACGATGTCTTTCTCTCTCGCCCCCCCTTCTCCCGCGCACAGGGAGAAGATGCCTTTCCACCATGTGACCGCCGGCCTGTTGTACAAGGGGAATTACCTCAACCGGTCCCTCTCTGCTGGCAGCGACAGCGAGCAGCTTGCTAACATCTCTGTGGAGGAGCTCGATGGTAAGGAGCCCGCCCCGTCTGGGAACGTAGCCATCCGAAGAGGCTTGTGGGGCTATTGTGCATCTCCGGTGAAAGGGCCAACCACCGTCTGACCGTGGTTGATGGGAAAGAGTTCAGAGGTAAATTCTGCCCAAAGGACTTCTTTGTGCGGGATGGACCTCGAGGCCTGAAAGATCGATGGGGGATCGTTCCGTTTCCTTGGATACTGACTGGGAGGAGAGCCTTCCGCTCCCCAAGTGAATCTTCCAGTTTATGGAATCTCTGTCACACATGGTGTCGTCCTGTTCCCGTGCTGTCTTTTATGCCGGGGCCCAGCTGTGGGGGAGGGTTTCAGCCTGGCTAATGGCTGTCTCTTGACGTGTGGCCATGTGCTTCGAATCCTGCCCGGATGAGAAATTGTCTGGAAGCTGCGTCGAGGTGGACAGCAATAATTTTTATTGCCGCTGTCCCTTCGTAACACAGTTCAGGCCTGAGTATTCAGGGCAGAATGAGGGATGGGGAAAAAAACCGAGAACGCAGAGACTGGCTTTGTCCTGGGACACTGCCCTGTTGTGTCCCCATTGGTGAACCAACCCCCAATAAAAAGAAAATTAAAACGAGATAGAAGGATTTTTTTTTTTCTGGAATAGAGAATTAGGTTGAGTCAGCCAGATGTTTGCCTAGGTGCCATATCTGCTGAGGCCAAACCAGGATCGTTTTTCCCCCTAGTGTTTTGGAATGCTGTGTTCCTTGTAACACATTTTAAAACACGGAGTCTACTAATTTATTTTCTAAAAGAGAGAAGCGGAAAGTACCCCAGATGGTCCCCATCTCCGCTTTTAAGTGTAATGGTCCGAGCCAGCGTGCCTTCTCTGCGCTCCTCTTTCACCGGGGAAGGTGGGAAGAGTCAGAGCTGGGCCAGGGAAGCCACACTCGCTTCATGATCTGCAGCAGATGGGTAGGGCCATGTGATCACTTCCCCTGCCCTTGTTTATTTTGTTGGCATGCTTCCCTAAAGGCTTGCTTATTTGTACGAGCGGGCAGTGGAGTGGCAGAGGTGGGCGGGCTGGGTCCAGAGGAAGCTGGGATGTCAGAGCGAGTGGGCAAGGCCAGGCCCCTTAGGGCAGCAGCTGCTCACTGTGGTCTGGACAGACTGGTGGCCCGAGAGGACAGGACCCTCAGCTCTACTGGCCTTCAGTTGGCCAGAGAGCAGTCAGATGCGGACACAGACGCATACCAGAGAGCCCTAACTGCCTGTGACGTGAGCCCATCCTTCATTATTTTTGGCCTCGTTGGGCAGGTGAGGTGAGGCTCAAGCTCCCCCACACCCCGCGGAATCGGCCCCCAGTGGAGACGAGGGCAGGTGGTGCATTGATCTGGCCGGTTTGCACGTGTGTTTGTGTAGGCCTTCTGGGTTTGTCAGTTCGCAGGAGCCCCCCGAGTGGGTTTTCTTGAACAGAGGCCAAGAACTGGCAACACTCAAAGATGCGAGATGACTAACCACATGAAGTTTGAAGATCCCCTGTGGCTGTCGCAGATCCCGCTTTCCACTTCCCTTCCTCTTCCCGTCTGCCACCCAACCTTGCCGAGAGTAGCCAGGAGATGATTTCTCCAACACGTCTCAGAGCAAGGTGTTTCTCTGGTAAATCTGGGCCACCTCTGGGTGCAGCCTTTTAAGAGGGTGGCTGGTGAGAATTCAGCCCGGTTCCCTGCTCTGAGCACCTGGCGCAGCACCCTGCATGTTCTTGGACAAACATCAGCGTTCACCAGCTGTTTCACCCAGGCCCAGGCAGCTGGGCAGGGCTGAAAGGTGCCTCTGCCCAGCCGGCATGGCTCAGTGGTTGAGCATTGACCTATGAACCAGGAGCTCACAGTTCGATTCCTGGTTGCATGCTCAATCCCCAGTGTGGGGCATGCAGGAGGCAGCTGATCAATGACTCTTCCTCATCAAAGATGTTTCTGTCTCTATCTCCCTCTCCTTTCCTCGCTGAAATCAATGGGGGGGGGGGGGGGGGGTGAGAAAAGGAAAGGAAAGAAAAAGAAAAGAGAAGAAAAGCGAGATGGGCGGGCTCAGGAGTGAAGCCCTGGTGGAAGGAAGCTGCACTTCAGGACCTGAGGGCCCTGGTGAACGTGTTGCCTTTGTCCTTTAGGAGGTAATCCATGCATTTTCTGATGGAAGATTTCTTCTACTTCTTTGTTTTCTGCCAAGGTGACCCCTGAGTTATGACTACTCATGCTTTCTTACGAGCATCCTGGGGCTCGGCAGGGCTGTGCAGATATGCACTGAGTTTAGAGCAGGGAGCAGGGTCTGCAAATCAGCTGGGAAGAACCGGTTCGGGTGACTGCCGCCGGTGCTTCGGGAGCAGAGGTTTCCGAGCCTTTGGCTGCTTGCTGTTCTCTTGGGGCGGCCTCCTGTCAAGCTGTCCTCGGTCCTGCTGTTTGAGGCCACTCATTTATCCTCAGAGATCTCACGGTGTCGCACAGCCACTTGATGTGTTGGACACCGGGGGACAGTGGAACATCCTTTGTGGTCTGGCTAACTCTGGTGCAGACAGTAGTTGGGTACCACCCTCACTTTCTGCTCCCCATCCCCCTCCTCATCCTGCAGCCTCCTGCTTCAGGATCACCACGGGGATATATTGGTTGGTGTTTATCACCAGGAACAGAATGCCCCTTTCCTTCAAGGTAAAGGTCAAAAGTGCCCAGTCCCTGGGTGGGTCCCCATGGAGAACAGGCAGGACAAAAGCCTCTCTCCATGCTGCCATTCACTCTGGGAAGTTTCTGTTTCTTCTCTTTACACAAAACTCAGGAGGAAATAGTGCAAAGCTGCTGCAAGTTGGCCAGGCTGGAGTTAAGAATCACCCAACAAGCAAACTCAGCCACGATGAATCAATTGAGACAGTCATTCATTCATTCCTTTGTTCATTCCTATTCATTCATTCCTTGCAGGAATGCTTACCCAAATGCTTTCTGGATAGAGGAAGAAATAAAATAGGTATACTGTTCATTGCCTGTCCCCAAATAGTTTGCAGTATACCCAGGTAGTTCATGTATATTCATTAGCAGTATCTTGCACTTCTACAGATGTCATATGAAGTTTTATTAGACATATGAATTATAATAAGAAAATAGTTTTTGAAATGCTATTTATTGAATAATCTAGTGATGCTATCTTAATCTTAAACTAAAATTGCCTCTATCAGAGGTTCATTCATTTTCATTTATATATGGTATTCCATTATTGATACTCTAACTCAGCTTCTATGTCCATTCTACTGAGGATGGGTATTTGGGTTTCCAGTTTGGGGCGATCAGTATCTAACCCAGCGTCCGCCTTCTGTGGCAGCTGTGCTTAGGGTGTGCTCTCCTCAGGGCTTCCTCATAGCAGCTGGGTGTAGGTATTTCACATTATTTTTGTCAGTAACAGTGTCAACCCTTTCGATTATTGTCTCGAATCTTCCTTTGAGCTTAGGTTCGTTTGCTTTCACATCTTTGATGGTCATTATTTTTGTGTGTTCTTCAGGAATGCCTCTCATTTTAATGCTAGATTTTCAGTCGTTCTTCACTTTCCCTTTTGCTCTTTTCTGTTCTGCTTTGTGATTCAGCCATTATTGTTCTTTGTAGGGCCAGTGACTGTGAGCAAGCAAGGTTTGTAATGATTCTTTAGCCTTCTCTATTCTATCTTCACTTTGCCCAGATCTGAGAAAATTTTCGCCTTTCCAGCCCCAGACTAGAGAGTCCCGTTTCTAGAAGACATTCATCTGTCTCATGCAGGGCTGCAGGGCAGAAGCGGGATCTTGATGGCACATTCAGTTGTATGTGCCACAGAATTATATAGCCCTTTGTCCTTCCCTCTCCTGCTCTCCTTCCTGCTCACACGGGAGCACAGCAGCCAGTGAGCCCAGGTGCATTCCGGTTCTCATCTGTCCTGCCAGTGATCCAGGATGGCGCACCAACCCCTGCTCTGCTTACTCCCAGAGGTGTGTTTTCTAACAGAGCTTAGAAAAGGGGTGCTGCCGAGGTGGGTTGGGTTGGGGAATAGATCACCATGGAAACAGTTGCTTGCTTTGGCGGCCACTGTAGCCTCTGGGTTCCTGGCAAGAACAAATAGTGGTGGTGGGCTGCTGTGGTTCTCGGGATGGAAGTTGTGTTTCCCCAGTTTCATCAGTGTTGGAATTAGTGGGGAATTAGTGGAAGTTCTCCTCAGGCTCTGACATGTGGACATGTCTTAAAATTACTATTTCTGGTAATGTGCTCACACATATAACTTGGGAGTATTTTCATTTCAGTTTTGGGAGTGCATGGATCACTCTGTTATCCTTCCACTTTAATGGGACTGCTCCAGTCCATACAGCCACTCTCCTCAGTGACCCACCTTTGCCTCTTCTGGTGGACACTCAGTACTTATTCTTTCTGCAGCATCTGGCAGTGCTTGTCACACTTTTGGCTTTGAAGTGGTCACTGCCTTGGCATCATGTCACTAGCTGGCTCTCCTCCTACCTCTTTTCTGCCTGTTATTTCCACTGCTCCTTGTGTGCCCCTCACCTCCTGCCAACCCCTTACACACTGCTGTCTCCTAGAGTTAGTTTCTCTTGTCCTCCCCATGGGCGTCTACATGCTGACCACCTCAGGATCTGTATCTTCACTTTCTCCCTCCCTCCTGAATTTTATTTATTTATTTATTTATTTATTTATTTATTTATTTAACCTCAAAGAGAGAAGGGGAAAAGAGAGAGAGAGAGAGAGAGAGAGAGAGAGAGAGAGAAAGAGAGAGGAGAGAGAGAGCGCAAAAGAGAGAAAGAGAGATGTGAGAGAGAAATAGTCATCACTTCCTCTAGCATCTGCCCCCACTGAGAATGAAACTCACAATCTGGGCATGTGCTTTGACCAGGAATTGAACCCACCACATTCTGTTGTACAGGCTGATGCTTCAACCAGCTGAGCCGCACTGGCCAGAGCCCTCCTGAATTTTACACTTGCTAACTATAGTCCTGTGTAGATGTCCCACACCTTTCTTAAAC